TTTCTGATTGTGGGCAGTTATTTAACCACATGAGTCATTGCCCTGCTATGATGTTTGCAGGATCATACGTTAGGGCTAAAAAAGAATTAGATGACTACTGCAAACATTATACCTGGTATTCAGCTCAAAAACCCTATGCATGAAGTAGTTCTTCCGGTAAGCCTATACGTTTAGATCTAGAAAATAGCATTATCGATATTGTATGATGTTCTGCAGCTTCAACCAAATCCTTTAGAAAACCTACAGCCCATCCATAACGCTTGTTATCGGTTGTCGTATGATCGGAGACCTTGCCAAACGCTCCCTCCCCACGAGAGGACAGTACCTTCCATTAATTATTCCTTACCAAACAGTTTTTCTATTACTCCCTTCAGAATTGATAGAAGACACAGTGACCTCTAACTATTTAAAATTCTTTCGCTTGTCCTTTTATGCTCCATACGAGCGCTTCTGGGATATTTCCAATAAATCCCGGAAGAGAGATAGCCCTCGCCACTTCTTTGATGCCGGCTACTTTGACGCCTGTTGACTTAAGTGACTCGTGCCTGGTAGATGACGTCTTCCCCTGGCAAATCACTCACCCCTAAAAAAAAGGGGTTTGAGGCGTTTTTGAGTCCTCCCTCACTCCCCCTCCCCAACCTCCTGTTCTTACTTCACCTCGGCTCACCGCATCTTAGTATTTTAGGTCACGGGTTTGGAGATTCTGTCTCAATTTTTGCTTTTAATAATTTGTAGCTTCAGTTTAATATTGGAATCCACCCACAAACACACAACACACTGTTGCAGGGAAAGCAGATACCGCAGATCTGGAGAACTGCTTTAAAATAATCAGTTTAAATCAGCAAACAAGTTAATCCAGATTAGCTTTCTGCGCATAAAGTGCATTAATAACACTTCTGTAGTGACCGAGGCTGACCAGAGCCAGGACACTGTCAAACAGCAAGGCTAATACAGATTACATGCTCCGAGGGCAGTGGCTTTAGTAAGACAACTCATTTTGGATCGAGTGTAACAGCGGCACGCTCAGAGGAAGCCCCCGGTGGGCAGCAGAATAAATTAAAGAGCACACAGCTCTCTTTGGTGCAATATTGGGGCCTTTTTCTAGCTAGCCTTAAAGCTCACCAGTTGCAAAAAGGCTGCAAAAATTGAGGGGAAAATACATGCAAATCTGCAAGTCATTAATAAGCACTTTATTAGCACAGCCACCCAAAACCAAGCTATAAACCATGGTGCCTTTTTTATTCTTTAGGAGGACAAGGAAATCTTTGAAGAGCACAACGTCTCTGTTTACCAGAGCAGTGTCTCCTGGACTTGTCTTGGCAGGAGGCTGCGCATCGGTTGCTTCATAGATTATTACTTGGGAATATGAAGATTTTATGCCTGCTTGCTCTTGGAATCGCATGGCTTACACCGCGTTTATTTACCTTTAGACAAATAAAATTTGCTCCCCGGAAGAAGCGCCTCCTGGGGGGCTCAGACCCAGCTGCCACAAGGACTGAAGTTTTCGTCATATTTGACTACGTCACCTGGCAGAGCAGGCCGAGGCAGCTTGATGCTAGTGCAGTACAGATAACAAGTTTTATTTAAGTATCTTTCCCTCAATGGGAATGCTTTTTCCGTTTCCTTCCAGAAACCTGGAAGCAGGGCAAAAATTCACCCACACGTTAAGCGGCGCTGTCGACTGAATCGCTTACTTCTATCAGCAAATACGCCTGCCTCAATGCTTCTCACGTGCAGCTCTCTGTTTTATTTTGAAGCAAGCCACAGTCGGCCTCATCCAGATTGTATTCTCACAGATGTAGACGATCCGCTGTAAGAGCGGCCAGCGTACATCCCTGAGTGCTGCGGGTAGGCAAACTCACTGGCTTTGGTGGTAGTGACTTGAGCCTAGTAGCTAAGTGAGGTTTCTGTTGAAGGGGACACAAAGCTCAGACTCGAAGGGGAGCTGCGGAAGAAGCCTGCGCGTAAAACGCGCAAAACCAGAAAGCAAAAGTCCCACCCTAGCTCCATTAACTTTTTCCTAAGAGCAATGAGCCAATAACCCCAACAAGCAGCTACTGAATCCCTGTTCTCGTGCAAAGTGCTTGTGTTGGCAGAACTGCGTGTTACGCCGACCGGCTGAAACTCTGCCGCAGCGACAGGCACGTGTGGCACTGCTAGATCCTCAGTGACAGAGCGCAACCCCCTCGTTACAGCTTTCCGGGGCAAATCAGAGCAGAAGAGGGGTTAGCGGAGCT